TGCCTATCTGAAGCAGATTAAGATAAATTAACTCTTGAAATGTTATGGCTTCAACTTTCAAATGGTGGGATTTGTCTGACCGTTTATGCAGGAGAGAGCCTTTAGCAGAGGTTCTAGGTATTGTTTCTGTCAGCTGCAGCCATGTCAGAGTCTTCACCAATTACATGCAGTTTCAGCCTCATTTCTCTGAAAAGAAGGCAATTTCCTTTTACAAGCATGGCTGTCCCAAATACCTTGAGTGCCGTTTTTATCCTAGCTGGCATCAAGAGTCACAAAATGAGGTAACACATTTAAAATATTTTCCTCATGGTTGTTCTGTTTTCCCATTCAGGAAAAAGATTATTGGTTACCATGGCAATCAGCTTCCATAGCTTTCCATTCTAAGTAACTACACAGGTGAGGCTTTACTCTACATTCTTGACTGTAGTTGCTGAAGATCTGCATGGTTTCCCAGCCTGTTCTCTGTGACTGCTGTTTCAAATGTCCAACAAAACAGAGTTAAATCGGGTAACTTTTGAAAGGCACTATATTCTATGGATGTTAAAGAATAGACTGCACATCAATTTCCTCTAACTGTGGGATTATTATTACCAATTCCTCTCTTCTATTCAGGCCCTCAATAGCACCTGACTATAAACCTTTTGCAATCTTCTTTTTCGAAGATCAGACAGGACCATGTGCCTTTGGGATGGACTGGCTGTAGTGGAATCTTCTTTTTCAAGTGTAGTATTGCATTTTACTTCTCTGACCATACTTAGAAAATCAGCAATGAGATTACAATAAAAATCAAGGCAGGGAGAGTGCCATGAGGTCCCCCTCCCCCCGCCATGTTCTGTAGTATAGTTCTCCTATGGGTAATTCCTTAGTCTCTCCTTCTACAACCCACAAGCCATACTATTTAAATGGGGGGTGAGGGGCAAGTATGGATGCTCTCAGATGAGTAAATCTCTCCTGAAGACTTTGCCCTGGAGAAGCCAAACATGCATATTCCCATTCTTGAGGCTTTTTAAATGGACAGTCCTTTGAAAACACTTTTCAAGTACTCTATTTCTACTGAGAACAAGCCCCGGTAATAATAATAAGGATGGCTTTATACAAGCCAACTCAAGTTAGTGATGGCCTGGTTATGCTAAATCATGGAGTATGTGGACTGAGACTTTAAGCATCCACTAGAAAAAAAAAATCTACTTTTTCATTCTTTTCTTATCATTACTTTTAGTCTTTGCTGGCTACTTAATTTCTTAATAATTTTTTGTCTTAAGATAGTAGGATTTCTATTGCTTGGGAGCTATCTATGTATTATTTCTGCTTTCTGACTTTATTTGAAGTCAGTGGTAATTTGTGATTAAAAATAGGATACTCCAAAGGGAGTTGCTATTACCTAATATTAGTCAATTAAAAATAAATTCTGGCTTTTAATTCCCCTTTCTGCAATTTTTCTAGCTCATGAATGACTTTTCATTAAAAAAGACCCATCTCATGACACATCTATGAACATCCCATTGGAGGCTACCATCTCCTGCTAAGGGCATGGAAGTAAACTCAGAAACTGAAACAGATGCCTTCGCCCACAGATTCTAAAATCAGAGGGTATTCATAAACCGCCCCACAAATTTGAGAGCATAGTGGGAAACAGGAATTGTTAAAAAACCGAAGTACTTTCTTCCACTTCCGGTGAGAGAAATCATTCCTTTCTAGGAAGTTCAGTGCTTAAAAAACAAAAAACAACCCCCCCCCAAGTCAGAATTTATGGTATGACAGCTCATTTTAGGGGGAAAGATATTGACTGGTAGACAAGAAGTCCTATAATGGTTCTCTGACTCCTCTCAAAGATATATAGGAATTGTTTCAAAGTAGGGGAAGCTCCATATTTATTTTTCTGAGAATGTCTCGTATGTTTCAAGGTTTTACTTACACCTTTGGCTATATACACTATATGCATACTACTTCCTAATATGTGAATCACACTCAAATGGGAAAGAAAAAAAAACTGGCCAACTATAATTCGCATTTACTAGAATACAGGCTACATGATCACATACATTTTGAGTAATTTTATCACACTGAACCATGAGATTTATGTACAAAAAAATTTGCTCTCTTTCAACTGACAAGAGGCAGCTGAAAAGAAACCCTGCTCTGGTGGAGAGCAGACACGGAGGAAGGGCTGGTTCTAAAGGTACATAAAGGTACAGAAACAGCTGACGGACTGTCTTGGCAGATGGGTAAAAATCAGTTCGCTAAAGAATACAAATTCGAGGAAGTTGTAATCATAAGCTTGAGTGAAGCATTTGAAAATGGCAAAATAAGACTTAATTAATACGGAAAGAACCAGAAAGAGAAAATTTGTTCAGATGGGAAGTGGGTTTTTTTTATATTAATTTACTTTTTAATTTTCATTTTACATATCCATCCCAGTTCCCTCTCCCTCCCTCTTTCCCTCTCTCCCACCTTCACATACACCTTAACTGCCCTCCCTTCCCATCCTCCCCCCACTCCACATGTAGGATGATGCCCTCTAGGAGGGGTCATCTAAATCTGTCAAGTCATTTCAGACATGAAACCTCTGGCCTCCACTCTTGTCATGCACACATGTGCTAGCACACACACACACACACACACACACACACACACACACACACACACACCCATGCATGAGAGAAAAAAGGAAAAATAAAAATCTCTCAGTGTTTTTAATATTTCCAACTTAATGCAAGATCACAATTTTATAATGTGAAGATAAATGATCAGGCAGTGATCAGTTGCAAATTGGTCCTAAACAGTTTTTGTTGGTGTCCTTTATTTAATCTTGGGTTCCAAACTCAAACAAGAAAATGTCAATGCAAAACAAAAAAAAGTAACATCGCTCCTTAATTCAGAATCAAGTGTTCACATTAAAAACATGTATAAAAAACCACATGTAGTAGGCAAGCATGTGACACTCCTGTAATTGCTCAGGGGTGGGGGAATTAGGAGTCTAAGGTCAGCTTGGGCTAAATACTGAGACCCTGTCTGAATCAAGACAAAAACCACTAGTTCCGGCAGTCTATAGAGTTTCAGCTGATTTTATTTTGAACTGCATTGGTATTGATTTAGTATTTTTCTAAGGACAACTTCATGCTTTGGTAATACTATTATGTCCTGGATTTTCCAGGGCACTTCAGATTTTAAATATTCTGTTTAATGTCAAATGACTTTAGTTTGTAAAATATGGTCACTGAATTTACAGAGTAACTGAAGTAATGGCCTTTAGCAGTATGCAGCAATTCTATTTCTGGGTCATGATTGCCAAGTTAAATCAAATAAAAGTTAAGTCCAGCCTGTGAATCAACCTAATAAATGGCTATTTTAGGATAATGAGACCACTTTAAAATAGTATGCTTTTAAAAACACGATTTTCCCATATATAGCTATATAGAAAATGAAAATGTACTTAAGAGTTATTGTGGTTACAAGATTCAAAAATGTAACCCTAATGCATGCTTTTAATTAAAAAGGATCGGGTGACAGGCCTTTGCTTCCAGACTGTAATTGACTGATATTCTTGGTAGAACTGAAGGGGTTCATTGGCATTTGCGATGCTGCAGAACGATAATCATCTGAGGGAATCTTAAGTTTTACTTTAATGAATTTGATTCATTATGCCATGCAAAACCATGGTTATGTTATGAACGGCAACAATGAGAACATTTGGGGACCCCCCCCCCGCTTTAATTATTGTTCTTTGTAACAGGTTTGTTCCTAATGCCACTTAAAAAAAAAAAAAAAAAAAAAAAGTCCATGCCATGGGGGAGGGGGAGTTTAAAAGTTGCCTGTGTTCAGAATGGTATTTAGGACTCCTAAAATTAACGGTGATTTCCCCCAAGTCTACCAGTAGTGATCACTCTCCCTCCCACGTTTCCCTGCAGGTTGGAATGTGAGCAGCCCGGGGATGCTGCTGCTGCTGCTGCAAACCCAGTGGGAGAGGGAGACAGGACATTACCGGCGACACTTCGGCACTGTTGCTAAGAGTGATTCACTCGCGCTTGGCACATTTGTGCCAAGGAAACCTCCTCCCGCCGCTTCCTTCTGCGAGCTCTCCTCCGACTGTCTCCGGCGCTTTGGCCTTTAAGGAGAAGCGAGAGCAGGTGGGCACACAGCAGCTCGCCCAGCCCTCCTCCCCCAGCTCTTTCCCTAATTTAGCAGTACTTCCGGCCGCGTGACATCATCCCCCGCACAGGGTGACGTGAGCGGAGGGTGACGTGTGTGCGGAGAGGAGCGCGCTGACGTTGCTATTTAAATGTCCTCCTGCGGGGAGGATGGAGACACAGCGCGAGCGCTCGGCGTGCGGAGCGGAGGAGGCCGTGGCGGCCCGGAGCCAGCGCAGGAGCCGAGCGCGTCGCCCGCCCGCTGCCGCCGGCCGCTAGGGGAGGGGAAGGAAAAAGGGACGGACCGGCGGACCGGCCCGCTAATCCCCTCCGGGCTGGTCCCTCAGCTCCTGCTCCGAGCCCGGGCCCCGCCTCCGCCGCGCCCCACCTCCTCCTCCGGCCTGCGGCGGCGGCGGCGGCGCTCCGCCCCTAGAGCCGGGAGGGCCGCGCTCTGCGCCCCGCCCCGCCCCGCCCCCTCCCCTCTCCCGCTCGGCTGCCGTGCTCGCCCCACGCCGGCGGCGCGGACCGGGAAGCGGCGCCGTCAGCTGCGCTCGCTTCGGAGCCGCTCTGTGGAGGCAGAGGAGGCAGTGACGGGTGCCAGGCCGCCCGGGGCCGGCGGAGGCTGCCGCCGAGGGGAGTGTGAGGAGGCAGCGGCGGCCCGGGGCATGTGAGGCGGCACGGAGCGGGAGAGACGAACCGGGGTGGGGGCACGAGCCGCGGCTGCCGAGCCTCGGACGAGCCGCGTGCCTCTCGCCTCGGCGCGCGGCCGCCAGGAGCTGGGGGCTGGGTGCCGGGGACCGCGCGGGGCTGGGTTCTCTCTGATTCATTCATTCGCCGCCGCCTGGAGCCCGAGGCCGCCGGTGCTGCGAGGAGAGGCGGGAAGAGGGGGCGGCCGCGAGCGGGGCTCCATTGTGCTCGGCGGGGGCCGGGAAGCCGAGGGAGGTGGGCTTGGGCCCCCTGCGCTGCTCCCCGGCGGCCGCTGCGCCCCCAGCTAGCCGCCAGCCTGGAAATGGCTCCGCTGATGCTCCTCGAGAGAACGAATCGATCCTTCCCAGCCTTCTCTGCCTGCTCTCCACCTCCTCTCCGCTCCGAGTCTTAGGAGGACGAACGTTCAAAGGACAGATTCCAATGTGGTGTGCCGTGCACATCGCGAGCGGCCGCGGTTTGCACTTCGAGCATTTTTTTTTCTATCTCTGTATTTTTAATGTAAGCGAAGGCAGACACTGGCTCTGCTGCCTGTAGGATTTTTATTAAAGTGCACGTCGCGTTGGGTTGCACGCTCCACCCCTTGGGACCTGGTGTGGTGAAATTTGAACCCACCGCCTTAGCCCAGCGAAGGCCGAGTTACCTGGCTCGCCGGAGCGTCTAGGGGACGTGAGCGAAATGACCAGCGAACTCGTTTTTTAGAAGACTCGGTGAAGCTGGGTTTTGCGTTTTCCTACATGTACACTGGTTTTGTGGAATAGTTGAGTGCTGTATTCTCCGCGCAACCTTTTCAAATTCCAAATAAGCAAATGTTTGAACGCTTTGGTATCAGCGCGAGTGAAATCTTTTTGCCGACAAGAACTAACTGAATTGTCAGCATCGTTGAATTACCTCCGGAAAAGATCTCGGGGGTGGAAAAGCAGCTGCAAAATAACAGACGAAGAAAATTCCTTGGAAGTTATTTCTGTAGCACAAGAGCAGAAACTTCAGAGCAAGTTTTCATTGGGCAAAATGGGGTAAGGATTTTGTGCTTACCACAGCTTTAAATCTGTCTGTGCGTGTGTGCGGTCGAGCGGTGGTGGTGACTGTTTTTAAATTCTACCCCTTGCTAAACGGGTACTACTTTATTTTAAAATAGAGATTATATTTGTATTATTGTAGAGCGACGCCAGAGGTCCTAATTAGAACGTGTAATGTTATTCGTAACTCAGTCTTAACTAATGATATGTAGGAAGACAGTGCACTAAGTCTACCCTGTACCTCTTGATTGATGAAACCTGTCGCGAAAACCGTAATCCCTACAGAAACCCGCTGTATAGATTACCAAAATTCTTGCCATCTTAGGTTTGGTTGACCGGTGGTATCGTTCAAAGAGACGGTACCTTGTAGAAATAATCAGTTGCACAAAGGGACGATTGTAATGACTAGTTAGACTACAGTGCTTGAAACTGATCCCTTGTAAGTTGTTGCCCTCACTGTGCCCTGTGTTTTATCCTTGAACGTCCGAAGCTAAATGTAGAGCATTGGTTTACTGGGCATTAAAACGAGAATCCCGGTGTCTCAGTGTTGCGGTCTCCACAGTGTGGTTGCTGGAGAGAGAAAGCTTTTGATTGAAGGAGCTTGTTCACTCTTTCTGCTTCCCTTTTTAAGCTTAGACTTTCCGCTTGTATCAGCAGTGTCAGACTTAGGTCTTTGACACAAGCCAGCCAAGAGTGCATTTTCCAAACTTTCAATTCTAATGCTAGGGGCTCCTTATTTAAGCTGGAAAACCGTGTTATGGGAGTGGCGATTGTTCTTTTCTTCAGTGTGTGGTCGATGCATTCTTCCTGTGGTCGAATTAACAGCGATACGTATGTAGTTGAGGGACAAGGTTTGGAATGATGGCTTTTGAAATTCATTGTGATGGTTTATTAGCAGCTCACAGTTTTCTTTAGAGCTCTGGAGTAGTTCCTTTTTGTCCTGGCAGTTAAAATGTGAAGTTTATTAGCTTATACAACTTTGAAAATGTAGAACACGTGTCATAGGAGTCCTTCCTCAGAAATTAATTATGAGTTGATAATTATGTTTAATACTGACATGGCAAGGATAAGAATGTAATTAAAATACCTTCTATTTCTGGTGCTGCTAGCAGCTTGGTGACCTGCAAATTATTTAACCTTTGTGGACTGTAGACTGTAAAATAAGGAGTATAGAAGTTTTCCAACCGCTCTCCTCATTTAGTAGTCAGCAGGTGGGCTTTTTTTCTTCTAAACTGTTTAAGCACTTACGCTGGGAAATAATGGTGTTTGAAAATATTTTGAATCAGGTGCATCAATTTTTAAATGAGAAAATACTAAAAAATATTAATGTTGGAAACCTTTGAAATATGGCTTCACTCGATTATATGCAGCTCCACAGTTTAAAATGCACAGTTTAAGCCATGTTGGAGTGTCACGTGTACTCACACCTACACACAAAATCCAGTGGCAATTTTTCATTGAGAAGGCTGCATCCTCCAGACTGAGTGCAGCAGTATCATGGAAGAGAATCAGTTTTCTGTGTTTCTTATTTACATGAATGACTACTGTTTTACCAAGTGAAGAGTGAGGTTAATTTTATACTAAAGGAGACTAGCATTTGAAATGGGAATCTAAGCTGCCTACATGAAATACATTTAGACACTTAGCATAATTTGTTTATAAACAACTCAGTAGCCTTTTTTGTTAGAAAAAACATTTTAAGAGGCTGGAGAGATGGCTCAGGGGTGAAGAGCAGTTGTTGCTCTTTTAGAGGACCTGGGTTCAATTCCCAGCACCCACATGGTGGTTCACAAGCCTGTGTAACTCCAGTTCTCAGGGATCTGATACCCTTTTCTGACCACCACAGGCACTAACTAGGCTTGCAAGTGGTGCGCATACACACATGCAGGCAAAACACTGTTGGTTGGTGGAAATAGAAGAGGATATCATACAGCAAAGGCATTTGCAAAAGTTTCTACCCTTTGTAAGTGAATAATCATAGCCATCTGGGCTTCTCTGAAACATAATATTGTATGGCCTTTAAAGTTTTCCCAGGCAGTCCTAAATTACCGTACTTGGATGAATATCCAAAGTTTCACATAGCTAAGGAAGTTTATATACTACAGATGGGTTTTTGATGAATGTTAAGTTATAATAGGATTAACTTTAGCTTTAATTGTAGTTACAATTAAGAGGTAAAGGAATTATTTTCTTAAACTAAAATAAATGATTAGGCAGGAAAAAATGACTCCTGAAAGACTAGTTGATGAACTGTGGAAAAGGAAAAGAACGGCTGAAACCAGCAGTTGTCAGAGTCTGTCAAAGTTGCATGTACTGTTTAATTGGTCAGCTGAAGTGTGGCTGGGTAAAAATAGGTGTATCAGACCCCTTACAAATAAACACGATTGTATATGTAAGCTGAAACCCACGAGAAGCTTCAGCATCTCAGTGAGTAATACCTGTTACCTTGGGGGCCCCCAGGAGCATATCAAAATGTGTTTAGTGAGTCTGGATCTCTTCCAGAACACTTGCAAGGCAACCATATCAAGTCACTTCAGCCAGTTATTTTGAGCTACCTTTTGTTTTTACTTAGTTTAGTAATGCCAACTCTATTAAGTGGTGTTATGTACAAGTGGGAGACTTCCTTACTAATGGATGATGAGATTTTTGTTTGTTTTTCTGATGTCTACAGGACTTGGCAAACTTTGAGCCTTTTCCTTTTTTTTGCCTTAAACTTTTGAAAGGAAGTGGCTGCTGCTACATTGTTATCTTCTTTGCTGATAGATGAGAAACTTGAGCCTGTTTTTGCTTAAGGCTCTAGAGGTGATGGCAAAAATGTGGAAATGCTGGTCCACCCTCACATCAGGAGTGTACTATGTAAAGGCAACCATCTTACTAATCCTAACAATTTAAGTCCTTAATTCTTTGTTAATTTTACCAAACATTCAACACCAATTATGTGGCAGGTGCTCCACTCAGCATGTGCTTCTCCCTAAAGGGGTTCATAGGTTAGAACTGGGGAATCGTGCTTATAGTAGATGGGAGATGATCAAAGAGCAGCAAAGGGGGCATTTGCCGAGGTGCACAGTATGTTTGCAGGAGGGGACATTTGCTGCTATAGGAAGGGGAACGAGACTTTGGAGCAGGGAATAGTAAATATTAAAAGGTGAGTACAGGTAGGCCTTGTAGACCAATTAGACGGCATTTAGGTAGAACAGTGACGGGCAGAACCATGCAAAAAGCCTTGTTTGCGTGGACGCCTTTGGATATAGAGGAGTGAATCTCAGAACTTTAGCCAGCCCCAGGTTAGAGTGTTGTAGGCCAGTGAAAGTCTGCGTTATGCTGTAGACCAGTCTTTAAAACTTAAGAGAGATGACTCAGCCTGGTGTGGCATGCCCTACACATCTATCTTAGGAAACTGAGGCAGGGAGGATCTGGAGTTTGAGGCCAGCTTGGGCTATAGAGAGAGCCTGCTTAAAAAAAAAAAAAAAAAAAAAAAAAAAAGCCATACTATTTTTAAATCACAATATGCCCATTGGCAGCATACATTTTTATGCTATGACCTAGTATTGTCATATTTAAATGATAAAATGACACAGAATAATATTCTTATTTTATATGATGCAGTTTGATACTTTCTATTCAATTATATTCCATGTCATTTTCAAGAAGAAATGATAGTGAAGGCCCACTATTTAGAGTTAACAAACCCATGATAGCAACTGGCAGTTAGAAAAAACACTGCTCTTGGTGGAATGATAGGAACAATTTTGGGACTATAGAAACACCAGTCTAAAACAATGAACTCTGCTGGGTAAAGGAAGTGAATAATTGGATAGGCTCTGGGAAGTTCCACGGTGGAGAGGGGTTAGTTGAGAAATGTGTCGTTGGTCATTAGAGTCGGTCTTTAGAACTAGGAGTTTTCAAGTACAGAGTTGGAAACTGCATGGTGTGCTCAAAGAGGAGCAGGCACTCATCTTACTGGGAGAGCTGTGAAAGAATGAATTAGAGTTAACAAGAGAAACTGCCCTTGCACTTATTTTGTTGGCTTATGTTACTGACAGTCAAAATTAAAAGGCATTAACCTCTCAAAAGATCAGATCTCTGTTCTGGCATTTGCGTTTTCTCCTGTCTTGGATATTGCTAACTGAATAGAAGAACAAGAATCCCAAATATTTAGTATTATCTGGAATCATCAGTTCCTACTCTAAGGTTTAAGTAGCCCTAGTGTTTTAGTTAGAACCTGTCCAGTCAAATAGGCCTTCGTTTGTGTTGCTTGTTTTTAATATCTTATGATTTGTGGCTCATGCACTTAGTGGTGACAATGCAGTTTACAAGGTACATTATGTTTGTAGAAGAAACAAGATTTTCCTGGAGGTCAGAAAGACTTATTTTTATTTTTTTTAATTGAGTGATTTTGAGGTATTGTACGGGTTCAAGTTAATTACAGAAGAATTTGTATGTAGTAATGTAATTTTAAGTAGGTTTAATCTGTGAGTAAGAATTGAGACTGAAACAAACAGACAAAAAATTCAGCTCAGATTGGCTGTCCTAGAGTACTGGCATTACAGATATGTACTCCACGCCCCATAAGACCTTCAGCTCTTCCTGGATGATATAGGAATAGAGGTGAAACTCATCAGCAGAAACCCAGTCAACAGTGTATGAATAAATTGTGTATCTAGAATCTTTCTTTTAGGTTAAAAAAAAAAAAATCTTAAAATGTATACCTCATTTTCTTCTTACCCTAACGTCTTTCTCCTGTCTTCCTCTTTCCCTGTCCTCTCCCTTTCCCTCTCAACCCTCCTATGTATGAAAATGGATTATCACTTTTGTCTATAGCTTGTATCCTCAATCCTTGAGTGTTGGGAGTGTGCTATGACACTCAGCTTGAATTTATGTTCTTAATTTAGCAGTGATCGATTGTGATCGATTTTGTGTTCCTAGGTGTCTAAGGAATGGGGAGGGGGGGAGATAACCCTTGTTCCTTGCTTTTGTTTTTAAATATTTTTGAGAAA